AATTCGCAATTCTTGTTGACTGATGGAAGGCAGAGACATCAAAACGCCGTCCAAAAACAAGTAAGTAACATAGTAAAAAGGTGCAGAGGGACTTACTTGTTTAGGCGTTGACGTGTGTGGAGATAGTTTCACTAGAATTTCCCGGAGCAAACCGAGAAGTTCAGCATGCGCTGCGCTGTTCGACTCTAGTGTCAAGCTCTGGATTATAGCAGTGAACATATCTTTCCCCACGATCTCTCTTAAGTTGGTGTCGTTAAGTGGACCAGCCACGTCAATCACAGCTCCACAAAAAACCGCACCTCTGTGAACCGCATCGCTATCTGGCCATTGCAATGACTGAATTCCTAGATGGACCGTTGCGAAAGCAGCAGCGGAGTGCTGGATTACATAACTGCGAAGAAAAAAGTAAATGTTAAACCATAAAGCATAAGAACTTCCAAGTACTCAGCTCACCAAAGCATTCCCGGCTGCTGCTCCGGATTGAGTTCACTTGAGGCCATGATAGCCAAAAGTGTGCAGACTTCACGAGTCAGTTCCCTTAGCATACGCTCCTCGACGAGTTCCGTATTGATTCCCGAACTTCCGTCCACTGCAAATAAAGTGCCAGTCTTGACAGCACCTTCCCTCACGAGGTTTTCCCAGGCTAGTGGCAGGGTCGCATGACAATGAACAAGTAACGGTGGCAACAACTGACCGAGCCAGACTTCTCGGAGAGACTGCGGGCAAAACCTTACAAATGACTGTATAACCGAGTGAACCAGGGAACGAAGATGGCGAAATTCCATTGAAGAAAGACTCTCCATGAGCCCAGTTGCTAGAGGCCCACTCAGTCCAGACATGTTGACGAAGAACTGATTCCCTAAGCGAGAACTTGCATAACGTAAAACGTTGTATCTGTACGGTAAAAGTTAGGAACTGCCAGTCGTATACATTCAAATACGTTACCCACTGTCGCGAACAGATTTGAGCCAGTTTCTTAGTTCATCCTCTTTGTGATCGACTGTCTTAGATTCTCCAAGTATCGATGCTTGCTCACTAGCGCTTAAATGTATTGCTTGGCGAACAGGCGGAGGCAACGTGGATAGAATCGATGGAATCCACAGCGAGTGCAAGCAGCGTAACAACTGCAGGAAATCCACGTTATTAGCCTTCATTCTGAATGAGACATGAAAGAATTACCTGTATCAAAGGCGGCAAAATCCAAGACATGTGAACTGCCATGGGATGTGAACTAGGATTACCTTCCACACCAGCCGCACATCTTCTGAGCGCCTTTTCAAAGAAATGAATGCTGTGAAAAATGTACCACATGCCTTCGTCCCCAGACAAGTTTTCCGTGGTAGTCGTACCCAGTAGTCGCACAAAACCAGCAGGATCACACAGATACTTTTGTTGCCAGTCGGAGTGACACCAATAATCTCTGAATGGTCCAAGTAGCCATTCCAAAACTTGATTTTGTTGCTCCTGCCTGCTAATTATATCAGGCAGCAATAAAAGACATCTAAAACATACCCGGCAGTAGAACCCGCAACCAATAAGGATTCACCCAACAATATGTACTCCCCACGAAGGAGGTGGCGCTCCTGCTGTAGCCTCGTCATTGTTTCAGCAACAATCTGCACTAACCCCATCAATCTAAAAGCACGACGTCATGAAAAATATACCTGCATGTGAGGAAATAAAGCTGGACCCGCCAGTTTTGCTATACGCAGAAACGATGTGCAGACTTGAAATCTTGCCTTCGAATTGGTAGAGCTCGCTTCCTACAAAAGAACATTAAAACATGATTTGTCCACAAGAACAAAACTAACCTTTGAGACTACAGGCACTGTTACTAAAAGTTGAAACAATTTCTGTATCACCGTAGGTACTGCAGTTGGTACATTCTTTATGTAAGGCACAAGAGCATCAAAACACTTTGCGTGGATCTCCACAAGCTCCGGTTCACTCCAATGGACGGTCAGCAATCGCTGCAATAAACCTAGACACATCATCTAAGTATACATTTATTCCAGTAGCTCACAACGTACCATCCAGAAGCTCACTCGTTCCTCCACGTGCAAAACATCCGGTTACAACTGCATCCAGCATGGTATGTGTACTCTCGAGAATGAAATACTCCTGCAAGGAAGGGTTAGATAACAGTATTGAATGCAAAATAAAAACCTGAGAAGATATCTTCTCTTTCGTCAGAAAAACATCAAGGCGTTGAACAACTTTTGTAATGCCCAGGTCATGATGGTGATGTGCAACCAGTCGAATTAGTTCTATCTGCAGCAAGCGCAGCATTAGTCTTACCCTTCAAAAATTTACTTCGCTTACCAAACGGCCACGATACTGGCTATAATCCACCGCAGATGTGAATTCTTCTTCCTGGCCATCTTTTAGAAGCTTCTGAAATGCCACATCAAGTAGCACGCTCGCGGTTTCAATCGGAACAACCACTGTAGGTCTTGCTATGATCACCTTGTTCCGCTCTACCGATAAAGAATCACGTAATAGTCCCTGCAAGAATCTGTCAGCATTTACGATGACAGTGTTTAGAGGATATTTACCAGCCATAATGGCAATGCCTGAACATGCAACGGAAATTCAGAGTGTTGCAGAAACTTCAACATCTGTGAAAGTCATTTGGTCAACTCAATGTCCTCCCGAAATGGATTTACCTGACGATAATACGTTGCAAGCTTTTGATTGTTGGATGAAATCACCTGCAGATTTTGAGACCCAAGAGCGACAAGTGCTTCGCACAGGCACTCCGCGAACTCCAGAGGGGCACTGCCACCCCCATCGTAATGAACAAAATATGCGTCGCAAACGGACGAAAGAATTTCATAGACGCGCGCAAGCACAGAATTGAAGAGCTCGACATCTTCGTCGTATGGCTTTCTCCTATGAACTATTATAGTCAAACCAATTTAATGAGAAAAGCCAGCATATGTTACCTGGATAGCAGTTGCTTTAAAATCTCACAAGCGGCCAAACGAAACTCTGGCGAATTTATCAAGAAACCACAACTGAAACAAGAAAGTGTCAAATGTGAAGTTCACGCGGGTACTGATGGATCCTTACGCTTCTACGAGGCCATAGCTAGAGAAGTTGGTGACAGGAGACCATTCTGCGTACACAAGAACAGCTTGTAAGGCAGCCGTCACAACAGCGGCATGCTGCTTCGCTAGCTCCATTTGCTGCAAATGCATAGCTTCCATCCCAGCGCCAAAATGTTTTTCCAAAAGCTGTTTCAAAACAAATGAATACCCTCTGTAACAAAACGAGAAACATGGCACTTACTTTGTAGAAGAATGGAAAGAGCTGGGGAAGACTTTCTGTAAGTTCTGACAACAATTGCCTCCTCCGCGTGGCTGCCAGTGAGGAAGATGTGAGAATAATAAACAGAAGAACAGAGACATACTTTCTAGATCTTCGTTGTGAACAATCACATCTTCTGGAAGCCAACGCATCACCATAGCAACCATTTCAGCCTGTCAAATCCTTTTGAGGACAGAGAATGAAAGTGAAGTTTTAGCTTACGTGAACAGGACTCATGTCGCTTATAGGAAGTAGAGATTTTAGCATCCCTTTCCAAACGTCCGGTTCTTCCCTTCTCGTAACCTTCACCATCCAAAGAAGTTATAAAACTTCCGAGCTAGAACACGTAAACTACTCACCTCTGCCACTAGTGCGGCGGTCTGGCTCTTCATAGACCATGCCTCGTGAGGAGTAGCAAATTCTTTTACCATATCCAGCACCATGCCAGTCATCTTCCCTTTTTCTTCATGGTTGAGCTCGTCCCACCTAATTCGAACCAGATGCTGCGATCGAGAAGAGGAAGGAAGAAAAAGGAGTTTAGCCTACGTAGGAAAGAAGCGATGCGTTACTTGTAAGAGCTTCAATCCATAATGCCGGACTTCGAGAGGCTGATTTTGGCTCGATAACGCGAATGCAGTTCCTCCGAGCACGCGCACGTCCCCCGATTTGATCTGTTCATGAAAAACACCGTGAATTTCAGCCGAAATACGCTGTCCCAACAAACCGAATCCAAAAATGCTATTGCTGCCAGACGATCTTGCGCGCAATCGAGAGCCGCCTTCACTGCGGCAGCGACGCTCGCAGGATCGACCATCGCGGCGTCCAAAGAACCCTACTCTCCACCGGAAGAATCCAAAACCCTAAACTTAAACAGTGACGTGGCAAAAGCGTTATGACTTGGCGTAAACCAATGGCGAGCTTCCACGTCAGCATGATAATCCAGCATTATAGGCTGCTATTTTGTTCCCGTTAGCTAGAATTTCTTCACGGAGAGGATGATCTCCGCGAGGTATGAAAGTCGGGCACTGGCATAGGTCTGTGGCGCTGCTCCTGGGAATTATTGCCACGGCGCTCTTGTTCGTGGCGATCAGCCACGATCTCCGCTCCTATTCCATCGAGGTATCGACATCGACATGGATTTCGGCCGCAGATTCTCGCAATGCCGGCTCGATCGCGTCGGAAGTGGTGGATTACGAGGCCCGGGAGGACGAATTCACCGATCCGGAGCCTTTAGATCAGCAAGAACAGGAAGAACAGGGCGAGAAAGAAGAGGACAAGCCAGAGGCTAGGGAAATCGAGGGCGGGGATAGCAATGGGGCGGCTGGAGTGGGATTTTCTCCAGGGAATTCGACGAATCGGGAGTGTAATCTCTACGAGGGGCGCTGGGTACGCGATGAATCATACCCACTGTTCCAGCCTTTCACTTGTCCATTCGTCGACACCGCCTTTCGGTGCCAAGAAAATGGACGCAAAGATAAAGGCTACTTGCAATGGCGGTGGCAGCCTTTTGGATGCGACATACCAAGGTACTAGATTTTTTTTTCTCTATCCTTTTGGCTCTATCGAAACGTTTCTATGCATTCTTCTAGCTTTAGTTTGACGAAAGCATGATAGAATGAGCTATGGAGAGATTATTTTTCCTGTCATGACTCGAAAGTTTTTTTTTCTCTATCCTTGTGCTCAAACTTTTCTTATGCATTCTTCTAGCTATAGTTTGAAGAGAACATAGATAGAATGAGCTACGAAGAGATTCTTTTTCCTGTCATGACTCTAAAGATTTTTCTTCCTTCCGCAGATTTAATGCGTTGGATATGTTGAAGAGACTACGGAACAAGAAGCTCGCCTTTGTGGGAGACTCTCTGGGGAGGAATCAATGGGAGTCTCTCGTGTGCATGCTCTATCAAGGAGTTTCCAACCGGAGCAACGTCTTTGAGGCAAGAAGGCAGCAAGTTGGAAAGGCAAGGCCGAGCTACTCGGTAAAGTTTCCAGACTACAAGACGCAAATCGACTACTACCGCACGCATTTCCTGGTTCCCGAGGGTCGAAGGCCTCCAGGAATAACCGAGAGGAGGAGGATCAAGTGCTCTTTGCAGCTGGACAAAGTAGACAAGACCGGCTCCAAATGGAAGAACGCTGATATCTTGGTCTTCAACTCGGGACACTGGTGGAACCATGGAAAGATCTCCAAGAGGTAAGCTTTTCCTCACTTACATGACGTCTTCTCTGTCTCAAACTTGTGTTTGATCTTCCAAAAGGTGTTTCTTCATTGAACGGAGTAACTACACCTTGAACATGGACGTCCATGCTGCCTACGAGAGAGCTATCCAAACTTGGGCTTCATGGGTTGACAATCACCGCGGAAAGAAAGTTTTCTTTCGTGGTTTTGCTCCAAACCACTTCAGGTACTCGGGAGAAAGAACAGAGAGTTTTGATAAAAAGACTTTCTATGTTTGTGACAGTGGAGGAGATTGGAACACTGGAGGGACATGCGAGACACACATCCAGCCTCTTGACGATGAATCAAAGCTAGACAAGTATCCAGACAAAGTCGAGGCCGTGGAGAACGTCTTGAACGCCATGAAGACGCCGGTGACGTTTCTCAACGTGACGAAGCTCTCGTTGTTCCGCAAAGATGGTCACGTCGCTGGATGGGGAAAACGCAACGGCAGTGGTCGCCAAGACTGTAGCCACTGGTGCCTTCCCGGAGTCCCAGATACTTGGAACGAGCTTCTCTACGCGTCTTTAACCCGGAGCTAGAGTTTTGGAAAGCGCTGTGCCTAAAAATCTCTCTTTTGACGACACTAAAGACATTCGATTCTAGGCTAAATAATGCACTGCTTCCGAAAAATTGGTTTTAGTGCCGCTGCGGTGTGAGAAACAAAGTTAGACCAAATGGAAAAACTAGAAAAGTTTACCTTGTGCGCTCTCAAAAGCTGGCTTCGGCCGTGGCAGCCTCGTCCTCGTTAGGAGATTCTTCCCTGGCAAATTCCTCCAAAAGTTGCCGCTGCCTATCGCTCATGGTTCTGGAATTCAAGGAAACGACGCGTGAGTGAAGATCTAAAGGCGATAAGAACTGAAGTAGAAAACTCACACTGGGATGCTCACACGGAAATGGATGTACTGATCGCCATAACCAGGACGTTGAACCATTCTCATGCCTTGGAAAAAACGAAAAAGTAAAATCAAAGTAGAAAAGAAAAAACTCGTCTAGTCTCAAAGTACCTTTTCCTCTCATCACTTGTTTTTGACCGGGTTGAGTGCCAGGCCTAACCTGTTTTAATCGAAAATCCATGGTGAAGAATACCCCCTCGTAACAACTGGGCATACCTTCAGCATGACTGATCCTCCCAATGTAGGCACTTGGACATTTCCACCCAAGGCAGCCTACAAACATACATCCGCTCGTGTCTAAAACAGTAGAAAATAAAGATGAGAAAATGTTACCTGGATCATGGTGACTGGAGCATCGACGTGAACATCAGCACCCTCTCTCCGAAAAACTGGATCAGGCTTGACCTGGAACGACCCAAACTATTACCTCCGCAAACTGTAGGAAACAATCGTACCTCCACTCTAACAATAAGATCTGCGGCTCTTTGGCCCCGAGCACCACAAGCTCCCTCGCCAACAACTTTTATGTCCGCCCCACTCTCAACACCTGATACGCAACAAAAAAACGAACATAGTTGAGAAGAAAACACAAACTAGCACGGCCCATTATCACTTACCAGCAGGAATATCGATCAAGACTTCCTTGACACCCATAACGACGCCGGAGCCCTGACACCCGTTGCAATGCTCCTGTAATTCTCAACAATCAGAATGGTGTTGATTCACAAAAGCAGTTTACCTTTACATATTCTCCTGTTCCTCTGCAATTCGTGCAACTTGACTCGAACGAAAAGAATCCCTTTTGCATGAAAACCTGTTCAGAAACATGAATATCAGAGTTACACGTGGGAAAGAAGGAGAAACCTTACCCTCCCAGCACCCCTGCACGACTTACACATCTGCGGCTTTACTCCGCTTGGAACACCAGAGCCCCCTGAGGAGTAAAATCTGATATAAAGCACAGAAAAAAAGAAAACAAAAGAAGAAGAAAAACTTACTGCACTTGTCGCAGCGTATTTGAGTGCGGTATGTGATTTTCCTTGCGCAACCGTTTACCGCTTCCATGAAATCAATATACACATTTTCCTGTTGAAGAGAAAATCAAGATGAGTTTTACAATGCAGGGAGTCTACAGAGAGAAAGCTTACATATGTGTTTTTCTTCCCACCAAAGACTGTACTGAAGATCTGAAAGTTGCTCATGACAATGAGAACAAAGTCGTCAAAGATTTTGAGTTGAAGCTTACGTCTTCCATGTTAGCACCACGACCACCGCCAGTAAACATGTCGAATACGGAGCCAAATCCGGCACCAGGACCAGGCGGTACTCCATCAGCTCGTTGAACATAAGCCTCATGCCCGAGCTGAAAAGGAGCTAGCGGTTTGTCTCGGAGATAAAAGAAGGAAATCCCACCTGGTCATACAGATTCCGCTTCTCATCGTCCTTAAGAACTTCGTATGCTTGTTGAACCTCCTGAAACTTCTTCTCGGCATCTGGATCCTCCTTGTTCACGTCAGGGTGATGTTTCTTAGCAAGCTGCGAGAAAAGAGAACAACCACTTCGAGTTATAGAACACGCAAGAGCTTCACGAACCGCATAGTAAGCCTTTTTCACATCGGCAGCGCTTGCCGTCTTGGAAACACCCAGAGCGTCATAGTAATCGTTCCTCAAGGCTGTCACAAGAAAGCACACAGGGTGAGCAAGATCCGAGAGAGGAAGAAAAAACCAAACAAAAACCACACCTGTAGAATGGAATCCTCGAGCATTGAAGCTAAATCCAAATCCTGTGAAGCCAGCATTGTTATAAGCACGAGCAAAACTACTGTAGCAATGTCTCTGGTCACAAGAGAAAGCGTTCTCCTGCACAAGCGCTAACTGAGAAAAACTAGGCTGCGAGATTGAGAAACTTCTACCTTGTTCCCGGAGCCATGGATTGCGCGATCACACAGCCGCCGCTCCCACACGCCCGATCCGCCATGGTGACTCCCCAATGCCGTCTTGGCAGCGCGCCGAATGATCTTGTGATGCACCATTGCCCTCCAAAACCCCGGGAAATCTCACAGCATAAACCCTACATTTTGCTCAAAAGGGTGGGACAAGATATTTTAGGGGCCTAGGGTTTAAGCTTCTACATTGCTCTATTGATGTTTACAAGGTTCTAGATACTCAAAAATGTGCTTCCACTGGAGCGGGAATGATCCAATCAAACTAGGTGTGAGCCACCGCCAAGAAGGAACGCTACCTTTTGTGAATTAGAAGCTCCCTTCGGCTGTAGCATTCTCGTCTTCGTTAGATTCTTCTCTCGCGAATTCCTCTAGAAGTTGCCGCTGCCTATCACTCACGGTTCTGGAGAATCAAGAGAAACAAGATCAATCGCAAAGAACACTCGCAAGAACGAGAAAGAAAATCATACGTTGGGATGTTGACGCGGAAGTGCACGTATTGGTCGCCATAAGCGTGTCGTTGCGTGACTTTGATACCTGAGGAAGACGAGGAAGTTAAAAGGAAGCTCAACTCTCAAAAGTACCTTTTCCACGCATCACTTGTTTCTGACCGGGTTGAGTACCAGGCTTGACCTGTGTTCGCAAAACCAAGATCAAAATCCATTTCCTTAAAAAGTATAGCCTACCTTCAGCATGACTGATCCTGTCAGTGTTGGCACTTCAATGGTTCCACCCAGAACAGCCTTGAAAACATTTCGAGTTATCAGAAAAGAAAGGAAAACTAAAGAAAAACGATCTACCTGAACCAAAGTGATCGGAACATCAACGTGGACGTCAGCGCCTTCTCTCCGGAAAACTGGATCGGGCTTAACCTGCATCAAAAGAACTCGACAAGTTAAACAATAACTCTGCGAGCGACCGAGGATTCATACCTCTACTTTGACTATGAGATCTCCGGCTCGTTGTCCCCGAGAACCACTTCCTCCCTCGCCAGATATCTTCAAGTTCATTCCACTTTCAATACCGGCGGGAATCTCCACATCAACTTCTTTGACACCCATCACTGTGCCAGACCCTTGACAGGCCTTGCAATGCTCCTGCGATTTACCAAAAGCTTTAGATCGTTCTTCATGCTAATATCCACGTACCTTGACAAACTGGCCGCTTCCTCCGCATGCTGTGCAACTGGACTCCACGGAAAAGAATCCTTTTTGCATGAATATCTGGACAGAGAATCGTCATATTTGACAGAACACGAAGAGGAAAAAATCCTACCCTCCCAGCTCCCCTGCACGACTTACAAGTCTGCGGCTTTACTCCGCTTGGAACGCCAGCACCCTCTGCCAACACAAGTAATATCAAACTAACATCTACAGGGACGAAAACTGGAAAAGACTTACTGCACTTTTCGCATCGTACTTGAGTTCGATATGTGACTTTGGTTGTGCAGCCATTTACCGCTTCCATGAAAGAAATTTGTACATTCACCTGTACAGTAGTTAAGGTCAAATTTAAACCTTGAGAACGAGGAATCACACTTACGTTTGTGTTCTTCGGTCCTTTCCCACCGAACATCGAATTTAAAATCTGCGAAGGAAAAATTCACACCTTAAGTTCATTCATTAGAAATTCTGCGCTTACATCCTCCATGTTTGGACCACCACCGGGGCCATTGAAGATGTCCTCAAATATCGAGCTGAAACCCGGACCAGGCCCAGGCGGTACTCCATCTGCTCGCTCGACATAAGCGTGATGTCCCACCTGATAAAAACACAGTCTAAAACTCCTTTCAATCCAATTAATTCTTACTTGATCATAAATACTCCGCTTTTGATCGTCTTTCAAAACTTCATATGCCTGCTGGATTTCCTGGAACTTCTTATCAGCCTCAGGATCGTCCTTGTTCATATCAGGATGGTGTTTCTTGGCAAGCTGCGAAGAAAGAAGATCAAAACTATACAAAAAATCACCCTTTGCATACCGCATAATAGGCTTTCTTGATATCTGACGCACTAGCTGTCTTTGACACCCCGAGTGTATCGTAAAAATCGTTCCTTGGAGCTGTCAGCAGCAGTACACTGAGAAAACATCCATGAAAGAGCCAAATACCTGTGGAATGGAAGCCTCTAGCACTCGATGTGTAAAAAGCCCCTCTTCCAACATTGCTATGCGCAAAACCACTATAACAATGTCTCGAACCATGCGAATATATATTCTGCTGTGAAACCTCTCCAGATGAGATCGCTGAGAACTAAAATTTTCGCAAATTCTGACCTGAGTCGCCGAGCTCCGGATGTTCCCGCCCTCCCACAGGCCACAGCGGCTCAATACAGCCCTCACAGCGCGTCGCCCTGCTGCTCCAGAGATGATCCGATGATGCACCATAGCGCATTCGCGAATGCCGGAAGAAATCCCAGCCCGGCCAGCTGCTGCGAAGCGTGCCCGCGCCGCGGAGCGCTCTCGTCACGAAGCGCCCTAACCCTAATCCTCTGGAGTATATTCGTTCGCATCAAAGGGTTTAAGGCCCAAGATTTAGGAGACACATGGCGTTATATTACTCGCAGAAGGCAATTTGTTAAATATGAGCCCTCTGGATACGCCAGATCAATCGGGTGGTCTGGTCCAGCTCCAGAAACACGAAGCAATGCGGCTTTTCTTCCAGCGGCTCTCGCAGCCTCCTGGAAACCAAAGAAGATTTTTCAAACTCTCTAGGCCTAGAACAAAATGAAGAGGAATGGATCACCTGGATGATCGATAAGAAGTTCTGGCTTTGTGCCACAGCGCCAGAGCACGAGCAAGTCATTAGCAATCCACCAGGTTTGGTTAATTGCATCGCCATTGCGTTTAGGTTGCGGTATTTGATCGCAGCTTTCTCGAGAAACTGGAAAGAGAAGTAGTGAGCCTTCTGTCAGTGGCCAGAAAAGAAAATTTAAGAGAAACCTTGCGGCTCGGTGCCAGCTTTGGAGGATCAAGCACAACCACGTCCCAGGTTTCTCCTTTTGACAGCGCGGCTTTCATGTACTGAACAATGTCCGCCTTCTCAAACGTAATCACTTGTGGATCTATGTTGTTGAGAGAGATGTTTGCGTCCGCAAGGTCTATAGCAGACTTCGAGGAGTCAATGCCTGCACGGATGAAGATTATGAATCACGAAGGCAGACTACAAGATTATAAAGTTACCAATGACTCGAGAAGCTCCTGTGATGGCTGCGTTGAGCGCAAAGGCACCAGTGTAGCAGCAAAGATCCAAAATAGTTTTATCTTTGCAAAAGGACCTGAGTGCCAGCCGATTATCTCGCTGATCGACGTAAAATCCAGTCTTTTGTCCCCCCAAAGAGACTTGATAAGCAATACCATTTTCAAGCACCTGGCAGCACAAGCTCGTATCACTGAAAAATCCGTCACTAAATCCCTCAATAAACAAATGAATAAGAGAACTTACGTGAACTTCTTCGGGGCTTTCTTCTGATTCAATCACGCATTCGAAGCCTTCTTCCTTCAGCAGCTCCACAGATGGCCTCCAAGTCAGAAGTTTCGTCCCGACTAATCTCTTGAGAGTTTCCTCTATGTTCGTCTTGTATTTTTCAACCCACGCAGCAGACGATGCCACAACTATATGGTTGTCAAAGACATCCACCACAAGTCCCGAAAGCCTGGAATAAAAGAGCAGCTCAATACAAATGTAACAAAGAAAGAAAGCTCGACACATACTTGCCTATCACCCTCACTGTTGACAAGCCGATAAACATTTGTTTCACCGGAAGGAAGGCCCAAAGCTTTTCGAAGCGCAAGAGCTCCAGACAATCTAGTCTCGATAAGCTTCTCAATATCAAAGTTGGAGTGTGGATCTCTGGAGAAAAGAAAGTAGCATACCATGAGAACAAATTCTTTCCTTCATAATTCTTTACCTTGCAGCTTCGTCTTGGGTTTGTAACACACGAACCCGAAACATAGAGACCGCATTGTAGACTCCCCAAGCGATAGGCTCTTCGGCGCCATTCGTGACAAGCACGAGATCCCCCGTCTTGGGAGGAGGCCGACCGATAATCCGATCGATGGCGCCGCTAAACACCATGGGATTGCCAGTGACGAAGATCTGCGCCTTGCCCTTCTTCAAAACGACCCTAGCAACACCTGGCATTGCATCCATTGCGATCAAAATGCCGCGAAATATCACAATCTCCGGAGAAATCCTTACCAGGATTCGAAGACGCTACTTCCGCCAGGCGCTTGCTTCCAGCGGCGGAGCTTGCAGCCCATCGCGCCACCAGAGGCGCCAAACACGACATGAAAAAGGAAGAACCCTAAGCCTCCGTACAACGGCTTTAGATATTTGAAAATAGGGCTTGTTTACCACAAAAGTTTTAGGTCGAACTACCAGAGCGATGGGGATGGACGGGCGCCTAGACCTTCTTCCAATGTAAGCTCTTGTGAGATATTTGGGAAAATCTGTGCATCGCTCGCTTTTCCAGGTATGCGGCAATGTGCAAGCGCCACAAAATCGATCAAAACCCGGCGATCGTCAGAGCTCTCCAGAAGGTACTCCTAGGTTCTTATCTCCTAGCCGGGCAATCTCACTCGATCGGGATTCCAGCAATTCGCCGCGGGCGGCGACGAGCTGGAGCTCGAGGTAGGCGACGACGTGGGAGAGATCGAGGTTTGCTGCGTCAGGGATTTTCTCAAGCTAGATTTATGGTCGGCGTTGGATTTAAAGATCACAGGCGACTGCTCGAAGAGCTGGAAGAATAACACGCTTGTAAGTTTCTTGACGGCGTCCAAGGACAGGCTTCGTCATGTAGATCTCAGCGCATGTACCTATCGAAGAGAATTCGTAAGGTCAGTACTTTTGTTCTTCGTTCCTTGCATTTGTTTCACACTTTCCTTTCAGGTTTCTCTATAGAGTTGGTTTATCCTGCGAGACTCTAAAGCTTGGCCTATGCAGCGCGCCTACATGGAAGTTTAACCTCGCCGGTGAGTTTCATCGCTTGGAAGTTCTCATAGTGGATCACAGCCGAAGTATCACCCTCTTGTCAAGCACTTGCTTCGAGGGCATGCCAAAGCTAGCGAAGCTTTCAATGTGTGGCACGGGCATCGTCAACCTTTGGACAACATGTCGTGCTCTTTCCAAGCTGCCGAGCCTCCGAGAGCTTCGCTTCCAGCGCTGCGTGTGTTGCGAAGGGACTGGCCACTGTATTGCTCCGCCGCCCGACGATTGTGAGGGGAAAAACATTTCAGCCGGGAGTTCTGGTGATGACCAAGAAGTTGAGAAAATGGAGATTTTTCAGAAGGGGACGGATGAGAGTGACTACTGGGATAGTAGCGGCGATGAAGAAGAGGAAGAAGAAGAAGAAGAACAGGAAGAATATGATGAACTTGGAGAAGAAGAAGTTGTAGAAAGCGAGCTGGATACTGATCTGGACGAACAGTTCGTTTATCTCGAAACTGTGGAACCCGAAGCTGGAAACGTTGCTGATGAACCACCAAAGGCCGAGGAGCGGCAACTAAGCTATCGTTTCCAGTCAACAATATGTCACGAGAAGTTCTACCGACAGTTTATGATATCGTCACTCCCGAAGCTTCAAGTACTGGATAATCTGGAGATCACACAGGAAAGCAGGAAAAAGGCATGGATAGTCTACTGCGACAACTTTGAGCGCTCGCCAAACACTCGGCGACGGCGAGAGGGCATTGTGGAGATACTTAAGAGCAGGGAGAGAGGCGGCGACCGGGGGCCTCACAAGAGGAGGAAAATAAACGAGACGAGAGCTCTGTCTACTTCCAAGCTGTGTGACTGGCCTGCTACAAGCGTCGTCTACAATCCTTGCAAGTCCAACGTGGATATTAGCAGGAGACTTAAGCCGCGGCAATTTGAGTACCACCCCAAGGATCCAGCTCTTATGGTTCTCGGGACACTAAACGGAGAACTAGCTGTGGTAAATCACGAGGAGGATAGACTGGTGGCTTATATTCAAGCTTCTGCAGTTCAGCACCGCGTGCTGGGATTATGCTGGTGGAACAACGAGCCTGACAAGGTACCCGTATATTTCTCTTTTCTTCTTTCCAATTCTTTTTCTTTCGTTTGCAGTTTATAGCAGGTTCTGACAATGGTGTGTTGGAACTTTATAGCTTGTCTCGGATGCGAGCTGCGACTATGGCGTGCACATATATGTGCGGTTCAGTGCACAGATTTAACGACTTCGAGCAGCTCACCTCCGTTCATATCAATTCGCAAGACGAGCTCTTTCTCGCAAGTGGCTACAACAAGAATATTGGCCTCTACGATCTTCAAACCGCCAGGCTAGTCAAGGTATTTCCTGATCTTCACGAGGACCATATAAACGTCGTCAAGTTTGCGCATCACTCGCCCAAGACGTTCGCTACGTCCTCGTTTGACAAAACTGTGAAGATGTGGGACCTTAGAACGACGATGACTTCGCCAGTTTACTGTACTACCAGTCGATCCGGGAACGTCATGCTGTGTTTCTCTCACGACGACCATTTCGTTTTGGTTTCCGCGGTGGACAATGAGGTAACTTCCATCTCTTTTGAAGATCTTTACGATCCTGCATTACAGGTAAGACAGTACCTTGCTGCCGATGGAAGACTTCACACGAAGTTCGACATCACACTAGCAAATAGCAGGCGAAACTACACAAGATCATACTATATGAACGGCAGAGACTACATTATCACTGGCAGCTGCGAAGAAAACCGGATCGGAGTTTACAGTGCTCAAACTGGAAGGCGACTGAGAGATGTAACGCTGGAGGTAACTTCCCATTTATAGTTTCAAGGCTATAGCTAACTGTTTGTGCAGGGACGAGGTGTAAATAATTCCTTGTACGTGCAGTCACTGAGGGGTGATCCTTTTAGAGTAAGTCAAGTTCTTACGTCTACTCTTTAGATTCAAGTAGCTAAGATTGCCTCAAACAGGATTTTCACATGTGTGTCCTTGCGGCTTACAATCACCCTCACCAGCGATCAGAGATTGTCAAGGTGAAGATACCTTCTTTCTTTCTCTACTCCTGACCCGGGTATCTTCACCAGATCAACATGGTCGCGTCAAGCAACTACGTCGGGCCTACAGATTCTCAGTCCTCGTTCACTGGCGGAAGCGTCAGCGGAGCATAAATTCTTTCAAAAACAAGCCAGTCCTGGTTCCACTCGCTACTGCAAAGTGATTACTAGACGAGAGGAACTCGCTTGCAGCCGCTTCAAGTCATTGTACATCTGGGGATGCCGGGCCTCGAACAGCTCCATCAGATTCCACTCCTCACTGTCCTGGAGGAGACGCGAGCAATTCACAGTCAGGACCTTGAGCCCGGGGCAGTGGACGAGCAGAGCTTCCAGCAGCTCAAAGCATCCGTTCTCTTCGAGAAAAACCGTGGCCTTGACAAGCTTAAGTTTGGCCAAGACATCGCCATCAATCTCCTTACAGAAACACTGCAGAAGGAAAGACAGTTTTACACTCAGAAGAAACCGAGCTTTTACGTACCTCGAGCATGTTGCCGCCGAAAGTGATGGTGTCCAGCCGCGAGAGGCCGTTAAAGAACGTTTTCCAAGCAACAGGCTCCGGGTCCGACACCGAGACATCGATCTTCACCTCGGAGATGTTGGGTACGAGCTCCACAATGCTGTGAATCTCCTTAAACTCCCACTCACTTCCTCCCATTGTCAGGATCTCAACATTGTCGAGCGAAACCACGATCAAGTCCTTGCAGCGCGACGGCAAGTGTAACTCCCGGAGCTCTGGAGCGACAAGAACACAGCTGATCCCGTCCAGCGTGAGGCACTTGAGGTTCATGGTTTCCAGCATGATGAACGGCGGCCCAGTCTCGGGACCCTCACGACGATCCACTGCCAAATGGACGCTGTTAACGTTGCTGTTCGTGAGCCTCACTTTGGCGGTCTGGAAGTTCTTGACGACCAGCTTGTCGAGAGCCGGGCAGTGATTTAGAACCGAGACCACGGCCGGGTGCTTGAAGCTGGAATCGTCGAGAACGCATTCACGGAGGGTGGTGAGATCGAAGTTTAGCATCGGGAGGAGGAACGCTATCGATCCATGGACTCGCAGGGCCGAGAGTTTTGAGCAGTTCTTCACCAGGTTCCAGAGATTAAGCTCCTTTGTGCTCACATACCAGAGCTCCAAGTCCTGTATGGAGTCTTTAACTATTTCTATCCAGCTTGAGAGGAGTTCTTCCGGAATGTCGCAGCCCTGGTGGATTTCTATGGCGAGATTCTTGATGGAGTGGGCGCGGCGGAGCATGGGAGCCACGGCATTGGCGTCGGATTGCTGGGCGAGCATGAAGTGGAGGGAATCGACGTACCTGGAGAGGGATTGCCAGCGGCGGCACACGGGCGCTAGGGTTGCGATGCTGCGCGCGTCCTTGAGATCGGCGAAGATGGAGAGGACGGCCTCTGCGGGGAGGGATTCGAAGCTCGCCTCCTCCATTGCATTAGAAGCAGAGGAAACCTAAAACCTGGAAGAAATATCTCCACGTCGGGAGTGCCACGTGTAAATAATTCTTCCACGTATGCATGCCACGTGTTAACTACCTGTTTGTATTGGAGCCGGAGACGCATTGTTGCTGGGATCGCTCCAGCCATTATAAGCAGCTTGATAGCTTCCATTCTCCTCTCCCCATCTAGTGTATGATCTAATCGGTATTGGGAACATTTAGTTCTTCCTTGTTTTTTTTTTCTGTTTCTTCTGCCAAGAGTCATGTACAAAGATGGCGAGACTTTGATGAGATCCTTGCTGACCGTCAAAGTTGCAGATATCCAAACCAACAATGCAGGAGGAAAATAAACAAAAGGTGAAATCAAATGATAAGCAAGAATATTAACACTAAACCTTAATTACTAGGAGAACATTTTAGATATATTCCTTACTTATAAGTTCTCAAATTAAAAGAATAAACATGGCAAACACTCCTGAAATTGTAGCTTTTCTCTACTAACAGGCTGTGCTAAAACTGGAAGCTAGCACTCAAGATCAATACAAATTTATAATTTTTCTGGTACTTAAAAGTTGAGCATCTGCTCAAATGCTGCATCCACAAGAATTCAATAAATTCCATGTTCTACTATTGTCAATGGTAGATCATTAGACACTCTGTTCATTGTTCTATATCTTGGATAATTCTTTGTAGATTCATTATTTCAATGGTTCTGTCAAAATAAACAAACCCGAAGGACAGCAGATGTGTTGTGGTTCCTCCAGCTTAAGTAATCTTGAAATTGTCGACTGGATGTAGAAAGCCACCTTCAAACTTAACAATTAGAGAAAAAGAATACCATCTCTACTGGAATTGCTTGAAATTGTTTTTTGTCCAAATCCCCATGTGAACAAAGTCCATTGAACAATTCTTTATGTCCAAATTAAGCTAAAATTTTGGGATGTCCTAAACCCTAATATTGATTAGAAATTAGATATAATTTGTATTCATGATCATTAAAACTTGATTTTATAATAATTAGAAATGAAAAACAAATAATATAGATTTGTGAGTGCATAGAATATGAAAAAGAAATACAGAAATGTGCATATTAATAAGCCCAAAAACCCTTATACAACCCAAATGTTCAAGAGACTTTATTTGGACAAGTGGAAAAATGCTTGTTAAATACTGATCCCAAAATTTAGCATCAGCACCTCATGGTAATCGTGAAGGTAAACTCAACTCTGTTAGTAGTATTATATCATGACTATATAGGGTTTTATATCGCGAAACACTATTAAAACTTTGTACCTCTATTAAGTCGTCAGGCTCAATTCCAGGCAATATTAGCAATCAATTCAGACTTAACAAAGAGATAGCAAATAACCATTATAATCCAAATGTTGAAAGTTCAAATACTTTATAATCATCCCTTTAAAGGTCTGAATACACTATTCCACTAATCCATCTATTTTTTTATAATAAATACTCGTGAAAGTGTGGCATATCCCTAGTCTCAAATATTAAAGCATGAAATGCCTCATTTATAAATACAAGACCATTATTTGAGAGAATTTGCTCCAAATAAGAATGTTAGAACACTTGTCAGAAATCCCCTAATTTTTGCCACATTCCTGACTCTCGCCAGATTTTTGACCTGCAGACCACATTCCTGACTCTCGAGACACTTCCCTATTCCTGACTCTCTGATTTCTTGTATGATTCCTGAGTCTCGAGCCACATTCCTAATGATGATGTGGCGCCTCCTCAACCTCAACTATATTTAGGTTGTCCTCGATCCAAGAGTGGTGGAGCTTTATTATTCTATAGTATATATAGGTTAGCCTTGTTCCATTTCTCCACAATCTGAATGAACGCCAGTTTAAGGCCTCTTTTTTGTTTCCACTAGCTTTTCTCTTTGTCTTTTGCATTTTCCAGTCTTGATCTTGTTGGGGGTCTTGACAGTTTGATTCAGATTGTGTTTTTTCGTTTTTTGCTTTAGCTCATCTTGATTGTTTGACTACCTTTGCCTTTTTTTCCCCTTTTTCTTTCTTCTTGCCGATGGAATCTCCAAGCCATCCTAATTTCTTTGCCAAAGTCCTTGCAAAAATCCAGTCTGAGAATACCGAGTTGAAGGCGACCCTTCTTCACATGCAGCAGGAGCTTGCTTCACTTTCGGCTCAAGGATCCAGCAAAGTTCCAGAACCAAAGGTGAGTTTCCCGGCGAAATTTTCAGGCAAGCGTTCGGATCTTCGTGGATTCCTGAACCAGATGGAGCTGATCTTCGCACTTTAACATCGACAGTACCCCACTCCCGAGTCTCAAATCAGCGCAATTGGGATGTTGCTCAAAGGTGCAGCTTTGTCATGGTTTTCTCCTTTTCTGGAGAAGAGCATGAAAGGGGTCGTGGTTCCGGAGTTGATGGATCTTCAATTGTTCAAAGAAAAGCTCGAAGCATGTTTTGGTGAGACTGATTGGGTTCGGGCTGCTACCACAAAGATGAGACATCTCTCTTAGGGGTCTCGTCCTGCCTCAATCTATGCTACAGAGTTCCAACTCCTTGCCTTGGACACTCAGTGGGATGAGCAAGCCTTGATTGACCAATTTTGTTTCGGCCTCAACAACGGTGTCAAGGATTTGTTGCTCACCATGGAGGATCCCAAGGACCTATCGGACGCCATCAACAAAGCTGTTCGATGTGACAATCGTCTCTTTGAACATCATCAGGAAAGTCGTCGCGCCGCTGTTTTTCCGTCCCAAACTCAGGAATCCCAGCTTGAGTCTTCGGGGCATACTCCTGAACCTACTGCTCCAGTCGCGATGGATATTTTTGGTACTCCCCAACTCATTAGAGGGAAGTTGAGTTCTGCTAAGAAGCAACGTCGAATATCTCATAATCTTTGCCTCTACTGTGCTGATCCTAATCACAAAGCAGCTTTGTGTCCCAAGAAGCCTCCCCGACTGCTCGAGTTCACTCTGCCTCAAAGTCCACCTCTGTTGCAGTCGGGAAATGACCTTGTCCAAACAAAGTAGGAGCTGTTCATTTGGACTCCCCAAATAAAAATCACTTTTCTTCTTTATCAAGCTCCTCACCACCTTTCATCAAAGGCACCACCAATTCCTGCAACTTCTGCATCCCATGTCTCCTTTCTTTCACCGGACAATCAGGACTCAAGGCTCTGGTGCTACTAGACTCGGGTGCAACTTCCTGCTTCATGGACATGGACTTTGCTACCTGACATCACATTCCTCTTTCTCCTACCATACAGGATCTGAGGGTTGAAGGTATTGGCGGGCATTTTGTGTCTCCATCTTCTGGAATTAGGGAAACATTGCCCATTCGAGTACACATCAGGTCCACCGTCACTGATATCACCTTCAACGTCATCAACAACAAGTCCTCCTCTGTGGTGCTCGGTGTTCCTTGGTTCCAACTACATCAGCCTCAGATTTGTTGGAAGGAGTTACAGCTCATCTCTCCCACATCACCATCTCCCACGGCTTCCCCTGCTATTCATCGAGTCCGAATCAGGAAAAGTTCCCTAAACTCAAATCGGGGTTTTATTCCTGACTCTACGAAGTTTTCACCCTCTTCTTTTTCCTCTCTTCCATCTTATACTAGACAGTATCCTCGTCTCATCATTCCATTTAGTCGCACGCCTCCTCCTATCTCCACAATCACTATGAAAGAACTCCTTCATGAAGAACTTATTTTCCTTTTTGTTTTGCATGTTTCTCCTGTTAGTCTTCCTGAGAAGTATCATGATTTTGGGGATGTGTTTGACAAGAAAAATGCTAGTGTACTACCTGTTCATCGGCCTTATGACTGTCCCATTGATTTACAGGAAGGAGCGTCACCTCAGTGGGGGCTTATCTATGGGTTATCCCCATCCGACCTTAAGGCCCTCAAAGAGTACGTGGATGAGAACCTTGCCTCGAAGCTCTATTTCGTTAAAGTGGGAATTGTCATTATCCCACTTGTAAAATAAGGTTTCCAAACCTTTATATAGTATATAAATATAACAAAATTCAACTGCATTGAGGCACATGCCATTTTATTTTAAACAAGGAAATGTCTACTCAATCACTTCTCCTCCCCCTGCCACTGCTTCACCTCTCTCTTCTCCTTGTCATCGTCGTCCAATTTCTTTCCATCCTTTTAATATTGGCTCAGTTGCTCCGAGTCTAGGTGGAGCCCAAGTCCCCATTCAATCTTTACTTTCCCATTATTAATAAAACAACTTCGTAGACTTCCAATAACATGCTGTAACACTTCTAGTATAATGCAAATCCTCTCAAAGAATTGTCTTTTAATATTAATACAATTGCATGGAACACCATGCCATAATAAGTTACATTTTTAAATAAATACATGCCATCTCAGACTGTTATTTTTTGCCTCCAACGCCTATACAATAATCTTGGAATTTCATCACTCTCCACACTATCAGGATTTAAACCCAATAGTAATGCCATCTCTTCTCTAATACGTCCACGCTCATGTTCAGTGGTCGAAGAACCCATCCGGTTGAGCAGATTATGGAGATGCGGATAGTGCTTGGCTAGACAATATACATGCCATAAATGATGACTGGTGTCTGTCCGATCAAATGGCTTCTGATATACCGTTCCATCTGCCATTTGGTTGATTTCTGCAGCCACCTCCTGGACTGGCCGGTTCTCTATCACCATCGCTCCAAGCCGTTTTGCAAGGTCCCCCAGAACATACGGTTTCTTCTCCCTAGTTTCCATACTGCAAGAGATGGGGTGCACTGCATATGTGTGCGTGTTCGCTGCAGTTTTAATCGGCGAGTCATCGATGATGAGGATTTCACTTGAGCTAGCAGTCCGGTTCATCACTACAGCCTCTGGCTTGACGAAGATGGGCTTGCTACCCCTCACATGGACCATAGTCAAGCAATCCTCCTGCGTTAGGAGAAAGTCAAATGGTAATATTACTCGCGTCTGATCGTGCATCATCTGTAGCAACGTTAATGCATTGTGGCGCATCATGGATGTCCAAACTCCCAATTGCA